ATGAAAAGAGGAAAGAGAGAGGGAAACAACAAGTTATTTGTGAAGCGTAAAAGAGGTACACTGGAGAGGAAGGAGGAAAGAGAGGAGGAGAAAGAGGAGAAAGGAGGAAGAAATGAGGGATGAATAAGTTTAAAACGAATTCAGAATGACATTATGTGTGTGTGACATATACGAAGATTTGTCTTTACAGTTATATTATACGTTGTTCATATGTACTTTCGGATAGCATTAAAGGAAATTTTTGAATTTGAAAACTTTCAAAATTAATTAGCATACTTTTCTGCGATGTTATACTAAATATTCTCAATCATATTTTAGTTTTTTTTTTTTTTCATAAATTACTATAATTTCTAAGATAATTCTATCTTTATGTTTTGAATTTGAAGTGATGTAGGAAGTAATAAAATTAAAATTTTTTTTTTTTTGAAATCTGTTGTTACAAATTTCGAAAATTTTTTTTTTTTGCTTTCACTTAAAAAAGAAAAATCAAAAATTTTGTATCCAAAAAGTTTCTATTTTTTCAATGAAAAAATTAAAGCAATGATATTCACTGTTTTTTTTTTTGTTGTTTTTTTCCTTTCTGTCATTTCTTGTTTTCTTATTGCTATTGAAGAGGTTTGACTTAGCAAGAAAAAAAGAAAGAGGAAAAAATTCAAGATAGCTGAGAGCTGCCAATTTTAAAATTAAAATTAAAAATTTCTTTTGTTAATGAAAAAAAAAAAGCGAAAGAAAGAAAAAAATCGGACAGTAAATATGCTTAAATTTTGGTTCGTTTTTTCCTCTTTTTTTTTTTTTTTTTAACTTTTAAATAACGTAGGAATGAAATAATCTTAATGTGAAAATGATACAATTTACAGTAGTATAATCGTATCTGTGATATGGAATGATAATCAAATTCTACATATATTGCAAAAATTCTATTCAGAAAAAAAAAAAAAATTAATTTAAATACATTAATCACCTAAACCATAATATTATTGTACAAATTCTTCCTCTCAAAACTAAAAGCTTTCTATTCATAGAATGTTTACTTTTACCTTCTTTTTTTCTCGGGAAAAAAAACAGTTTGAATGTTCTTTTAAAAGAATATGTAATGTTATCACGATAAAAAAAAATAATCATGATAATTTGAAAAAAAAAGAATGAAAAATATTCATGAGATGAAAATGATAACATAGTTTAATATAAAAAGAATGAAATGAAAATTATGACGACAGTTTCGAAGGGAAAAAAAAAAAGGAATATTGATAAAATACTGATTATGAGATAAAGATTGCGATAATTATAATTCGAAGTATGAAATTTTTACGAAATACCTATTCACTATTCGTTTATTTTCTCATCTCATCCCTACATTTTATTTACACTTGAGAGAACAGCTAATTTTAATTTTAATTTAAATGTTAAAATTAAATCGGAATGCAAGAAAAGAATTAATTAATTCATCAACTGACTAATGACAATAAGAAGAAATTTGATGATAATTTGTACAAAAAATTTTCACATACTGTTCAAACAAAAACTTTTTCATTTATTATCTTCACTTTATCATTATTGGTTACTATGTGAAAATTTAATTAAATGCACTTTTTCTTTCTTTAATTTTTGCCTAAATTTTTATCGAAATGTAGAAAATGAACGCATATTTTTTAATACTTTTAATTTTAATTTCTTTTTTTTTTCGTTTTCATCTTTATAACGAAAAACATTGCATAGTCAAATTATCAATTAAAATTTAAATAATTATTAAACTATTAATAATGATATGTTAAAATGCAATGCTTTGTTGAAAAATTTTAACGTATAATAATGTTTATGATAACATCAGTAAGAACAAATGAATAATTATTAATGGAATGATTAAATTTTAGATATAAAAGAATGAATGAATGATATGTAAAACTTCAATTGATCAAATTTTAATCCTAATTAAAATGATTAAATTTTAGATATAAAAGAATGAATGAATGATATGTAAAACTTCAATTGATCAAATTTTAATCCTAATTAAATCATTTAATTTTTATGCATTTATTTGGCATGAAATATCAAATTACATTTTTTAATTTGTACCAAATTTTAAACTTTCAATTAATTATCATCTTAACGGATTTTTTTCGTGCAATATTTGTTACTACATCTTAAAAAAAAGAAAAAAAAAGTAATTTTGGCAACATCTACTGAAGAAAAAAGACAAAAGAAAACAAAAATAAAATAAATTTGAAAAGTTTGTTATTTTTTTCTTTACAATTTCTAATAATAATATCTTTTTTTGAAAGGAAAGAGAAAAATTGTCATTTAAAGAAGGAACTTTATGAAATTAGCAAAAAAATTTTGTAAAAGAACTTTAATTCATTTTTTTTCTTAATCAACAAAACGAATGAGTAAATTACATTAATTAGACATATGAATTTTTAAAAATCAGGTCAATATAACAGTGAAAAAAATAAAAAAGATTCAGGTAAAGGAAAAATTAAAAAAAAAAAAAAAACAAAGAGAAACAATATTGAAAGAAAAAAGCAAAAAGCCAACAAAGAAAATCAGTACATATTGAAATGATAAACGAATGAAATTAAATCAATTAATTGTGTGAATGGTTAAAATCCAAAAGTTCACATAATTCAAACATAAAATTTGAAAGTGAAAAATTGACAATGAAAGCTTCGTTTAGGGAAGAAAACTATCAACTATCATTCTTTTTTTTTTTTGTCACTTAAACCAGATAATTTCATTTTTTTTCCTTTCTTCATAAATCTTTCAGAAAGTGCAAAAATTCAACGAAAAAAAGGAAAAGAAAAATTCTGTACAAATATTATAATTTATAAATTAATTATTAAGGGAAATTGTAATAAAATTAAAATAACAAATGAGAAAAAGTGTTTTTCCTTTAATAAAATTTTCTTAAATAAAGAATATTAGTATCAATAAAAATATAAATTTATACCATTCAAATATTATTCCATTTTATTTTTCCAGTCACCATTCATCTTCTTGAATTGATTTATTTGATAATAATAGTTGTTTAATAGCACAATTATATAATCTTTTATAGCATGATTGTAGTAATTATAAATTTAACAATTTAATTTTTTCATTTAACCATTTATTTTCATAATCTTTTTTCTTGATTTAAAACTCTAATAAATAATTAATAAAAGAATTTCTTCTAGTTTTTATACTTTTTACATCTTTCATTAAAAATAAAAATGTTGAAAAGTACGATGGGAGAGAGAGAGAGGGCGGGTAAAAAGTAAATAATAAAAAATGAAACATACGGTGTTGCTGAAATTGCAAACAAAGTAAAGCATCATCATTATTATTATTATTATTATTATTATTATTATTATTATTTTTAGAGAAAGAAAGAAAAGAAGAAATTTGCAAAACTTTTTTAATTGAAATGATAAAAACTAGATAAAAATTGTTCGATGCCAATTTTTAGTGTGATAATAACTATTATTGGAAATATTTAGTAAGAAATATTTTAGTTTTATTATTTTCGATTTTTTTTTTGATTATTAAATAAAATTTTATTAAGGTAAATTAAGCAACATTCACACTGAAATTATGAGAAGCTAACAAAATTTAATAAGATGATGAATTTAATTTTTTTTATTTTAAAACTTCAGTCTTTTACTTGCTTCAAAAAAAAGACAATAGTTACTAATTTAAACAAACAATTAGTGGAAAAATTAAGTTATTCATGAATCTGTCAATAATAATATGAAGCTATTTATTTGACAAGAAAAAAAAAAAGAGAAGGAAAAAAGTGGTAAAAAAAACTTTTATTTTATTATAATATTCATTCGTTAACAAACAAAATACATCAAACAACATTTTACAATTCACTTTTATGCTTCATTTTTTTCTTTTTTTTTTAAAAAAAGAAGAAAAAGTTGACCGTTTACAAGCCTATTATTCATTTTGAAAATTTTCAATTCTAGAAATTTAAAATTGTTAAATATTGGATTAAAACATTCAATTAACTATAACTTTGCCCTCTTTTTTTCTTTTTTGGCCACTTTTGAAAAAATGAAATTTGAGAAAGGAAGAAAGCATTGTTTTATGCAATTTTTCATTTAGGAAATTTATTATATAAATTTGTTTGCAATTCACATATGATAATTGGTATGATAATGAATCAAAATATAAAATTGATAATAATGCACCGAAACACAAAATGAGAATTATGCACAGTAAAGAGCCCAAATTTGCCTGCTACTATAAAATTCCATTCGATAACAGTTAATTGAAGCAAAAAAAAGAAGACATTAAATGCTTGACAAATCTCTTTTTTTATTTACAGATCAAAACATTAATTTTCAAATTAAATGAATTAAAATTTAGGAAAATATTTTTTCAAATTACTGCATATACACTGATAAGATAAAGAAAACATTTAAAATAATTTTTAAAAAAAATGAAAATACCATTTTTAATCGACAAAGGATGTATTTAATTTCCTTACTGATCAATCAGAAAAAAAAAAGAAATTATTTAGGAAATAAGAAATTTGGAGAATATATCAGTAATCAATAAAATTAATAAAAGTAAATAAAGAAATCATTTTTTGCATGGTATAATTGCAAATGAGAAAAGTAAAATATTGAATTGAATGAAGCAGAAAATATTCACACAAATAATATCCCAGAAGTTCTGTACGAAAAATGAATATACTAAAAAAAAAAAAAAAAAAACATTAAGAAAAAGAAAAGAAGAAAAAAAATTTGTACACAATCTCATTCAAAGCCTTCAATGTAATGATTCATTTCACAGGAATGCAAGAATTTGAAATTTTTTTCTCCTCCAATTTTTTTGCCACATACAAATTTCAGTATATAATTCATTCCCAAGAAAATAACCAAAAACCATTACTAATTCAAAATTAAATTTTTTCTATAAAATTCAAAAAAAAAAAAAAATGAAATAGAAAGAAAGATAAATTAATTCATCAAAAATATGATAAGCAAAGATATATAATTGTGCTTAAAAAGCATAAATCAACTATTTGTCGGAGAATGAGGATATATCGATGCTGCTGAAAGGGTTACTGCTGTATTACGTTGTCGCTTAGTCTGTAATCGTTTACGCCTTTCCGTTTCTGCATCAGATAATACCGGTTTACAGTCAATATTCTCTGTTATTATTTCCTTATCACTAGTTTGATTTATACCATTTGCAAGTTCCTAAACAAATTATCTTAATTCCTTGTTTTCCTTTTTTCTCATTAAATTATAAACTTCATTTAATAAAATAAAATAGTTATAATTAGGATGAAATTAATTTAAACTGTAATTATAATAGTGAAATAATTACTTTATATTGATGAAGTTGTTGTTTGGTTGTTTTAATTTCATTTTGTTGATCTTGAATAATTTGCATCATTGCTTTCAGATGATTCATTAAAGGTGCTGCGATAGCAGTTAATTTATAACACGCAACTGTTGGCACATCATTTTCAATATTGTCTAATTTAAGTACCAAAGCACCACTATTCGAATCATCCGCATCTTTGCGTGCACTTAGACCTTCAATCTTTTTTTTTTTTTTTGTGATGAACAGATAAATAAATCAGTTCAATTCGTTGAACTGCAAAGTAAAATTTTCTAATGTTAGATGAAGGACATGAAATAAACCCATAAATAATGAGTTTAAAAAAAAAAAAAACCATTCATAAAATAAAACTGTATGATTTTTAACTTTAAATCAAAAAATGTAAAAAAAAAAATCAATTTTTATCAAAGAAAAATAAGAAAAAAAAAAGCAAAGAAGATAGACCAAATTAACCTTGATTGATTGCATCAAGTAAACGATTCCCATGTACAATTGCACTCATTGCTAACTCTTGACCATCTCGTTGTTTTAATTCCGCAACAGCCATACCGGTTAGTTGTTCCGTTAACTTTTCCAATTCATCAAGATTATTCTTCTAACAAAAAAAAGAAACAGAAAACAAAATGAAATGATAAAAGAAAAAATATTACATTTCATATATTTACCATAAATATATTAATTTATGGTTATCGATTAAAAACAAAAAGCTAAAAAAAACAAGTAACATAAATGAAATTTTATAAAATTTAACAATTTTCATTTTGTAATAAGAAAAAAAAAACGCAATCAATTAATTGAATGTTTATTTAAAAGTAAATAAGTAAATAAATAAAAAGACAAACATTTGATCCAGGAAGAAATTCAGCCAAAATTGTTTGCTTATCAAGCAAAGCTTTCATAATTAATTCATCATTACGTCGTAATCGTTCTGTGGGAGTTAAAATCGGTTGAGCATGTTCAAAAATCGTTGGCTGCTGTATTGTTATTTCATTAGCACTAACAAGTCGTGGATGAGTTGAAATTTGTACTCGTTCACAGAAATCCATATCATCTGTATGATATTGTCCGTCACCTGTCGCATCCATACCAAATGGACTAGAAATATTAGAAATTATTACTTATAAACTGAATGAGTACAGCACTTTGGAAATATTATTTGAATTTTTTGCACTTTTTTTTTTTTGGAATTTCTTGAACATGATGAAATCAGTGATAAAAAAGATCAAGAAAAGAAAAATCATTTTAGTGATAAATACCCAATATTGGGTTGTGCATTGACATTTTCACATTTGACGAGATCAATTTGATCGGAGATCAGTTTGAACCACCTAAAAATTTTTAAGCTATTTTTTTTTGTGTCTACAAATTACAATAATATAACTGATCGATTATTAAATGAAATTTAAACATTTGACAATATCTCTTACAACTCAAAAGAAATGACTATAAGTTATTAGATAAGATAGATAACAGAAAATTGAAATTAATATTGCATGAAATCGATAGATTTATATATACTTAGATTTAACTTAATATTACTTAAAATAATTTCACACAAGATTTGCGAAAATTGATCTTCATATAATTAAAGTCACTTCACATTTCAATCAATTTTTTTTTTTTTTTTTTTTAATTCAGAAATCAAAAATAAAAAAAAAAGAAAAAGGAAAATACGTTTTCCGTTCAGTAGCAGTAGCAGTGACTAATTCATAGATTTGTGCACCGCGTTCCATTGTATTTACAATAAATAAAGCTCTCTTATCATTTGCTTTTTCTTTGGCAATCAACGTTGTCAACGGTAATATGGGAGACCATCGTGTATCTTTTGACGGCTCCTAAAGCCTTACTAAAATGATTTACTGAGAAGTTAAATAAAATTAAAAATATATCAATGATTAATATCTTAAATGTTAACTAATATATTTATTTTAAATAAAAAACAAAGAAAAATTTCGAATTAGAAAAACTTTAAAAGCTTTTCAAAATAGATAATATGATTTTCCAGATGGTGCACAAATTATTGTCTTTATGAACTGACATCATTATCATTTTATTCAATTAATCATTTCATTCTTAATTTTACTTATGAATATAAATCTCACATATTTTGTTTGAATCACATGTTTGAGTTTGTTTTTTTTTTTTTTTTTTTTTTTTTTATTTATGACAGTTCAAAATTCATTGCGGTAAATGAGAGCTAGCAAGACAATTGATCAACATTATTGAACATAATAATCATTCTTGTTTATCAATTCGTAGCGTGTTAAAAAAAAATGGCACTTTAAGTTATTTGACGTTATATCACTTAGTGATTACATGATTTCATGATGATAGCGCTAAGTATTACTGCATTCCGAAAAGCTTTGATTCATTTTAAATTGTTGTTATACTAAAAATTATTATAATTTGGAGTATTATGAACATAATATTAGTAGTGCAGAATATACTTAAAGTATATGACTAAAGTTAGCATTTCAGAATTTCGACCAAAAAATTAGTACCTGAACTTTCAGGAGCAATTTGCTCCCATCACCCGTTTTTGTGAGCAATATCAGTACATTTTCGAGAAGTACAACATGCAATTCAACCATTTTATTCCGACTGCAACGCCAAGTGAGTGGTCCATCATGGACCAACTTGTAACTGCAAGCAAAATTTACTTTATCTATTTATATCAATTAATAAAGATTTCAATATAAATAGAATAAACAACTCATTCATTTAATGAAAGAACATACTGGGTTAGATTAAACGAATGAAAATCGTTGCTGAAATTTTCACGATCATAAGATGTTGTAACTAAACGCTTCTGCAACTCTTCCAATCTTCTCAAATTTTCGGCATTTCGTTTTGCCGTATTCACCGCTTAAATGAAATTTGCATAAAAATGATACTTAAAAAGTGAGTAAAGCAGAAGTCAATTTTTGTTATGCTCGCAAAAATAAAGATTCTTTTTGCAAAAAAAGAAAAAAAAATCCAAAAATTATTCTTAAAATCGAATAAAATGACCAAAAATATGATGCATAAAGTAAACCTGAAAGTATCCTCTTAGCTGAATTAACACTATTCAAAATTTTTGTTTGCTCCTCAGATGGTTCCTGCGTATATTTGGCAATTGTTTCCAGCAATAAAGGATATTTAACAAGCCTTTGCATTTCAACAGGTAGCATATCTTTCAGTTGTAGTTTACGACACAATGGACTGCTTTCAGCTTCGATCAAAAATCTGCTCAACTGATCGTCCTTCTCTTTTTTACATCTATTAATTAAAATTCATCTCATTGATGTATGAAATAACTTAGTATCATTTATCAGTCAAAAACTGAATTCCTTCATTTACCGTTGTCGTAAGATGTCTAATGCATGTTGCTGATGTTGACAAAATGTTGCAGTTGCTTCCATAAGTTTTACACCATTTTCACCATCAAACAAATCTTCCATCAGTAAGCCGACATCACCCAGTAAACCATTTAAATCGCAATCACGTTTCCATTCCTCGACCATATTTCTCATCATTCTGAGATATAAAAATACAATTATGGTTATTTTATTTAAGATAAATTTATAATTGATGCTAATTTACACGGAATAAGATTTTATTAAAACACTAGGCAGCATATTCCAAATAACATTAGAAACTTTTTTTTTTTTTTTGTGTTTTTATACGCAGCAAAAAAGCTACCATTCCTTTTACTCAAACTTCCACTGCTTACATAGCAGACAAATCATTAGCATTAAGCATTTGAGTATTATTTTAGCTGTTAAAAAGCGCATTACCTAGACATATTGCCATGCACTTCCAGCAATTCTTCAAGATTGGGGAAGAATAATTTGATAACTTCTGGAGGCACAATATTTTGCAAAACCATTGGTTTGTAAAATACTTTATAAAGTATCTTCAAATTTCTCACATGTGTTCTTTCCGTATGAAAAAGTTCTAAACATAACATTGAACTAAAATGAAACATTTGACGATAATACTTGAAGAAATTTGTTTGTGATAAATAAATTTGTTATAGATATCAAGAATATCACATGTAATAATATAATTTTAAATGAAATAATGATTGAAATGATTAGTTCCTGATTCTACTACTTAATTACTGATTAAGAATACAAACCATTAATAACTTCCTGCCGTTTCTTTTCTTTCGGTTTCAATCGTCGTACAATTTCCCAGCCAACAAAACTTTCGAGCGAGGGCACTTCAGTCTCAACCTATAACAAAATTCAAAGGTATAACTAAATTTCAAGGATGTTAGTGTGTTCGAAGTAATTACCTAATAGCATCTTAAAAAATTTGAATTTAAGACCAAAACTTTATCGATGATAATGATGATGACATAGTAATAATAACAAATAATAATGATAATAATAGAATATTAATAATAATAATAAGATAAACCGCTAGCCTCTAGATCACTATCTCCATCAATCAACGAATTTTTCTCAATTTTATCCATTAGTCGGCGAACTTCTTCATCAGCTCCGGAAGCATGCGATACCGATGAACTTCCTAAAATCATTAGCTTTCTACAGGCTTTTCAAAAAATTACCCTATGTTTATATTGGAAGAATCAAGCAACGATGATAAAACTTTCAGTTTACACCGAAATTCACATATCGTAAAACTCACTGATAGCTTGCTTACCTGACAGGGAAACAGTATCCAGTGGACATCTGGTTAAGGTAATCGGTGAAGCTTTATCTTCGCTATCCAAATCGCTTCGTGTACGTCGTGGTGGACGTTCTTCACCTTCTTCCGGTGGCGCTAATGCGCCTCCCCATGAAAATGCTGATCGACCAGGTCGACCATCTTGCATTTCATCAGCCTGCATTACGGGATATATGTATACATATATATATCAATGATTGTCAAGAATTTATTTTAATCTTAACCTAAGAATATCAACTAACCCGAGAACGCATACTTTGTGATCGGGATACTGGTTTTTCCATATCTGTACCAATTCCAGAATCCGAAGAAGCAGATTTAATATTATCAACTCTATGTAATTCCTAAAACTATTACTACTAAATGGAATAGAGATTGATCAAAGAGGTTAGAAAAAAAAGTAACAACAAATAAAAGATAATAGTAATAATCAATCTAAACTTTCTTAATTTCAAACCTTATCAGGAATAATTGATGTTGAATGCGCTTGTTCTGCTAAAGAGCTACTACCTTCGAATGATTCAGTCTCACATTTACCACCTGAACCAGTGCGTTTTGTTTTATTCGCTCCGGTTTTCTTTTGAATTGCCGGATAACAGTGATCAGGAAGTGATAATGTACATTGTTTATGCACAACAACATCACAATCTAAAATAGTTTTTATTAAAATTTGCTTATAATAAGCTGTTGTAAATGTTGAAAATGAAAAATGAAAAAATTTCACTAAAAATTCATCATAACTATAATATAAACAGTACAATAAACAGATTTAATTTAAATCGTATAATTTATTAATTCGTTATAAATTAATATTTAAGGATTACTTTGGCAAAAATATGCTTGAGCATTAACTCCCCAAATAGCATTACGACATTGGTAGCAATAAACGGTCAAGTTAACAGGAGTTAACATAAACTGATGACCCTTAACCTGAATTGATCGTTTGGATGCCATTTTCATCTTGAACATACCAATCTTATCTTTTGTAACAAATGTTGGACATCGATCCAAAATTTTTTCGTTCGTATTAGATCGCATATTTAAAACAACCTGAAATTACTTCATCATCTAATTATTAGATAAACTTTTTTTTCTTTTTTTTTAGAAAATTTTCATTTCTTTATAATATTTAAAAGGTATCAACTTGTTATGATAAAATGTCAAACAGAAAAAAAAAACTAAACAAAATTTTTGATTATAAAATTAAGGAATAAATTAAATTTTTTGATGTTAATTGAAGAAGTTAGAATCCCATGGATGAATAACAGAGTAAATTGTTTCTAAACAATAAAAAAGGAATAAAAAAAAATAAGAAACATTAGCATAAGCGCGGAATAAAGATTATAACACTAATTTTTGCTATATTTAGGCTAAAAGATCCAAATATTGTAACACTCAATTTTATTCAAAATTGATTAAATTTTTAGGAATAAAAGATAAAATTATGCATAAATTTGTTTTAAGATATGTTTTTGACTGATATAAGCTTAAATATTTTCAAAAATTTTTCTATCCTTTTCACGGAAAATCCTGAAAAGTGCAACAAAACGGAAGTATATACCCATCCTGCATCATACATCAAACTAGCATGAAATAAATTGTTTAAACAAATTTAGCTTTTTGAAAAAAAAAATTCACTTTCAAATTTACCTTTATAATTGTTGCTAGAGCAGAAATAATAGCTAATGATCGTGATTCACAATTTTCCAAATCCTGATTAACTGAATTTAACAAATTTTCCAGTGAACGAATCAGAATAGCTTCGCCTACCCGCGTTTCCATAGCTGTATCACCCTTACTTATATATGCCAATTGATTTGCATCAAATAAACTTCCCAATCCTGTATTTTTTTTAAAAAAAAAAGTAAATATTATTTTACATTTTCTTTATTTTCATCAAGTAATATAAAAAATATGGAAAAAAAATTATAGCAGCAAAATATTGCACTTATTCTATCTCAGTTGAAAACAAACAAACAAACGAATCTATCTTTTCCACTTCTTTTTCTATTTTTTAAAAAGTTGCAAAAAAAAAGAAAAGAAAAAATGAAAGAGATCGAAATGAAAGAAGGAAAATGTATGTGTTAAAATGAAAATAAATTTAACAAAATGCAACATAATCAAATTTTTTTTTTGTTTTCTATCTCTTTTTTTTGTTTGTTTTTTGAGAAATCCATCTAATTCATTTTATCATTTAAAATTTGTCATTTGATTCAATTGCACCAACAATTCCAATATTGAAAATGATTTTTATCTACCATTATATTTACAGATAGCTTCATGAATTCTAAACTTTTAAAATAGAATATCAATATATATATGCATATATTAGATTATTGTAATAAATGATTTCCAAAAGAAAAAAAAAATTTTTTTCCCAGAATTAGTGATTAGCAAAAAAAAAAAAGGAAAGAAAGAAAGAAGAGTGTTAAGATAGTACATAGATATGGGAATGATAATAATGGCCGGAATAATCTCAATGGATTAATAAATTTTAAAATTCGTCCACATGTTAAACGTCATCAATTGCGATTTTCTGTTGATTTGTGCAAATTTTGAAGATTAAAAGTTAAAAGTCATCGTAATATCTTCTTTGAATATATGGTACTCTATGAAAAGACGAAAAAAAATGAAAAGAAAAAAATTTAATTTATAAAAATTTTGTTTTTTCTGCATCCATTGAATGTAAAATTATATGATATCAAATAAGATAACCTATGAGTCGTTTTTGCCGAAAATTAGCCAAATGTTCGTTAATATCATCGAGTGATTTCTTTCTTGCAAAACTAAATATCTTTATCAATTGATCCATATCATCATCTGTTGCTTGTACCGTTGCTGCTAATATCTAAATGGTATGATATCAATTTTTCCAAACAATGAAGTTAAATCAAAAAAAAAAAGATCAAAATTATCTGATTTAAAAAAAAAAGGAAAAGAAATAAACTTTATCAATGCTTTGAATTAACGACTGATCAATGCTATCCCATGAGAGCGGTGAGTTTGGTATTAAGAAAGTTGAAAAGATTTCATAAGCCCATTTTCGTAAATCCTTTGGAACAGCATTTGAATTTTGATAAGCATCCGTAATCAGATAGAAAAACTGAAACTTAATGCACATTAAATCTTTTTACAAATGAATGATCAACATGAATTTGTGTGAATTAAAAATAAAGCTGAAATTTTTAATGATTTTGGTTATATCTAGAATGTAATTAAACAAAGTGATTAAAAATCATACTACACTGCTTGGATTAGCATTTGCTAAGAGATAGTTGATAAAAGCGGCCAGATGAGCAGGGCGCATTTTGAGGTCAGCAAAATTCAAGAAGGGTCCCTGAGTTTCAATCTAAAAATGAAAATTTTATTGAATGAATAAATAATTCATTGGTAAATTGGTGAAAATTTCGGAAAGAAGAAAATTTGCAAAAGTAGACATACACATATGAAAGAAAATCAAAATAAAACAATAAGAAAATCCAAAAAAAAAAAAAAAAAAAAAGAAGAAAGAAAGAAAAAGAAAAACGAAATATGAAAAAATTTAGCATCTATTTATGCAAAAAATTTCTAAAATTAAATTTGAACGACAAAAATTTTTGACAAATTGATAATTCAGATGAATCACCTTATTGCAATAAATTATTTCAATAGTATGTCATCGTTTTACATATAATTTTTTTTTTTTAAAGTTTCGAGGAATTTTGAAATTTATTTTAAAAGTGTGTTTTTATTTTTTGAAAAATCAATTTTTCAAATTTTTAAACATGCACTTCTCTCCAACAGCTTAAAAATTTCATCATTTTTTCTTTTCTTCTTTTTTTTTTAAATCAAAGACGAATTTGTGTGTTTAAGTAGGATGCACTGATATTGAAAATTGCTTTCAGATTAAATAGTTCGATATTTAAGCCTTATCATTTAATCTTTATTAATCATTATTAATTCGTACAGCTTATAATGTAAATGTTGATACGCGTACCGAAGCTATAATTTATCATTTACTGCAAAATAATAATAAAATTGATTAAAGCTATTAAAACAATTAAATTATCAAAAAAAAAAAGTTCAAAATTTAACTGGAAAGCTTAATTTATATATAAATGCAAGCGAATATTACTTTTGTAGCAAAGATTATCAAGTGTTCAAAGAAAGTAAAAACAGAAAAAAAAAAGGATAATAAAAAATAAAAATAAAAAAGTAGGAAGATGAAAGATTTTTTTTTTTTTTTAAATAATTTTAAATGGAAAATTTGAAACCATTGTTATTTGATATGAATTAGGAAAGTAACGGATGGTAATTTAATTAAATGATTTAAATATAATTTAAAATATTTAGCAATGAATAAAAATAAATGAATTATAAATAGCAATAGAGCTAACATTAAATGGAATCTCCGATCCATCATTATCATCGGTTTCTTCTTCCATTGTGATAATTTCTACCGGATGAACAAAATGCATACCACTATTCACCATCCATTTTTCCTAAATGATGTAAAAAATTCCTAGAAAGGATAGAGATGCAACAAATAAGGAAAAAAAGAATAAGAAGTGATATGATGATAAAAGTGATAGTGATAAGAAATACATATGCTCTAAGCTTAATGTTGTTAATTCATAACAGAAAAGAATGAAACAAAGAGAGAGAGACAAAAAGAAATTTTAAAAAGTGTAGGATGAAGGTTTTCTTTTTTTTTTATTTAACATGATAAAGTTTGAAAAATATAATTTGTAAGAAAATATTTTTTAAAGAAAAAAGAAAAAAAAACCAATTGTAATAAGTGAAAAAAAAAAGAAAAGAAAAAGAAACGAATGAATAAATTCCAAAAAATAAATGGAAAAAAAAAATGAGAAGGAAGTTGACGAATGAAGTTTATTGTTTAAAATAAGATGGAAAGAGTGACAAAATTTGGACTTTATACTTCGTCAAATTTTGTTTTCAAAAGCAACAATGTTAATCAATAGAATAAAACTAAAAATTTCCCTGTTTTCTCTTACAAACTACCCATTTCCACAACAAATACGCTTGTAATTCCATTGTAAATCCATGAAAATTCCCTTGGGTATCTTTTTTTTTTTTCCTTTTCCCAAATATTTTCAACAAACGTTATCGACAAATGTGCAAAAATCTCCTCCCTAATCCTTTTCCCATTCCCTCGATCACATTCTTTTTTTTTCCTCTTCCTTCTTTCTTTTCAATTTTCCAAATATTTCTTCATATCAATTCTTTCCTTTCATCTCACTCCTTTCCTTTCTTTTCATTTTTTTTCTCTCACCCTCTCTTTTTGTTTCATTCTTTCAAAATATCCGGAAATTTCATAGATGAAAAGATATAAAAAGTGACTATATAGTTGATAGACTAAATGCAATAAAATATACTAAGTAACAGATACATTTTAACACTTCTTTTTTTCAAAAAAAGGAAAAAAAAAAATTTATAATAAATTTTCCAGAAGTTACAGGATTACAATTTCCCGAAATCCTAAGAAAATTAGACTTTTAGAGTCTTGTGATATTTGAACAAAATAGATATTTTTCATTCTTTACAACAAAATAGTATTAAAATTTAAAAAGTTTTAAATTAAAGCGTCACAAATTAAGATTCATGCAACAATTTCGCATCTCAAATCAAATAATTTGGAAAAAAAGAAATGTTAGCTAGACTAATTTTCTTTCGAGCCTAGAGATTTTTTTTTTCTTTTTTCTTTTTTGCTTCTACAACTTTCATTTTTCTCTCTTTTCTCTTATTGTAATATATTTTACATAAATTAGTCATTTTTCTTCAATTCATTTTCTGCCTCATATTATTATCACACATATATCAGTTCAAATTTTCAGCTAATATGTTCAATCTAAGCTAATCTAGATTGAATCATTGAAATTCCTTTAAATGATTGATTTAAAATCACTTCAAAAAAAAAAATGAAAAACAAAATATGCCACTACACTTTATCTTGCTGTTACACAATAATTTATGCTGAACTAATATTCTATGATATTATAACATTCTAGAATCAGCAAACATTCCAGTAAATTCCGGAAAATACCTGAGTTACGACGGGTTCTATATTTCGGAGTTGATTTTGCAAACTTTCAATACGTTGTAAAGCGCGTTCCAACTGTATTCCCTCTACCGAAGTTTCTCGTAAACCCTTCAAATAAATTAACATGTAAATAGTATGAAAAGGAAAACGAAAAATTTATTTACATTTTCTTTTCTTTTTTTTTTCTAAAACTTTTAAACTTTAATTCTAATTTCTCTTTTCAATTTTTATTTCTGCATAATTTAAAAACAAAAGAAGAGAAATTTCTAGAAATTTTAATGATATTTAAAAGATTATGATAAAATTTTAAATTTTATCAGGAATTGGCAGAAAAAAAAATAACGAAATGATAAACATTACATACGTGACCTTAATCATCATGAGAGATAGAAATCTTAATAAATATTTAATGTCATCCAAAGTTTTGACTACAGTTCGATCACTATATCGGACAGGTCAATATGTCTATTTGATCAAAGTCAGTATCATAAATTCAATAAAGAACTAAGTTTTCCTTTTTTTTTTGACATAATATTTGTTTGTGATATTACTAAAACAATTTACTGCTTCAATTTTTATAAATCATAATAATTATACAATGAAATATTTAACAAGAAATTTTAAGAATTATTTAAACAACTCAACTAATTAAACATTTATTGAAAAGAACAAAATTGGAGTTCTTTTTTTTTGCATTTTTTGCGATTTTATGCAACTAATTTTATTTTTAATAAATGATAATAATTTGTTTTCTAATATTATTATTATCTTTTTTTCTCTTTTTTTTTTTTTGTTTTTAATTTTTACTTCAACATGTCGACGTTCCTCATCCAACATTTGCCTAATAATTTTCACGCGTTTTCGTTTCCACTCTTCTTTTCGTTCGTTCTATAAAAAAAACAAGTAAAAAATAAAGTACAATAATTTAATTTTCATAAATATTATATGCTTGCATAATATAAATGTTATATATATATATTTGTTCAAATTTTTATTAACATAGAAAATATGTCAATTTGTGTTTTGGAAAGAAATGTTCATAACAAACACAAAATTATAAAATTTTTATCAACAAATCTTTTTTAAAGTTTTTGTACTTCTTAGATATAAAAATATCACTTAGATTTTTTTTTTTCATTTTCATCTCTTTGCCTTCTTTTTCTTCATTTTGGAACAAATCAACTTTAATTTTTTTTTAAAAAAGAAAGAAAAAACATACCTCAATGAGTATAGGTTCAGTGATAACTGCTTTACTTTCATGAGCTCGCATTTGTAAAACTTCTCGGACATCTAACGTAAGAGGTTCCGGTGGTGGTCCAAGTAATGTTAATGCCACTGTTTGACCTCCTATTGTAAAAAAAAAAGAAGGTAAAAACGAAAGTTAAACTAACAAATAAATAAGTGGCAATTTTGGAAATATCTTATTCAAAAAATATCTGTACAAAATTCATTTTGAAATTAATGAAGACTTTATCATTTTTAACAAAGATTTGAAAATATTTTCCAATTAAAACTTGCGGTTAAAAAGTTAAGTCAATGTATGGGACATTATCTGTATGCAAAAGTAGTAATTAATAATCATAGCAATAATAATAAAAATAGTAATAATAATGTTAGCAATAACAATAATTAAGATAATAACAGCAATAATAATAACAAACAAAAATTGATAACAATTAATAATAATAGCAATAAAAATAACAATAATAATATTAATGATAATAATATTAACAACTGTTACTGTAACAATAGTAGTAGTAATAATAACAGTAATAATAATAGTAATGGTAATAAATAATAATGATTAATAGTAACAATAATTAATTCAGAGAAAGAAATGAAAAAACTGAAGTGATTAAAAATTTTCCAGATGAAAGTTTTGGAATGTTCAACTTTTATTAAATTTAAAAATCCTAGTAAATTTAAAGGAAAGACGAAATGGTGCTTTTGCCATCTGGCTGTAAGCTGTAATCGAAGAATCTAGCTAACATATGTTTGACACAAAAAATTTTTGGCCTTCAAAAGTTGAATGGATTTTAAGAAAAATAAATAAAATGATATTTGCAATAAACACTTAAATTCTGGCAGGAGATCACTATAGAAATGTACAATTTTGTTATACGAAATGTTGTAGGGTCAAAAAAAAGAAAGCGAATAAAGAAACAGGAAAATTGATCAAATGAAAATAAAATAGATGAACTTTTCAAATTTAATATTAATTACTTTTTTCTTAAATAGTTCAAAATTTATTAATATAAAAAAGTTACAAAAGGAAAAAAAAAGGAAAAATTTATAAATTATATTCTTTATGAAAGAATTATTATCTTTCGAAATATTTAAATTCATGAAAGAAGAAGAAGAAAAGGAAGAAAAAGAAAATGAATTAGATTTTAAGAACAAACAGATGTTTTCGAGAGCTATTTATAATGAAAACATCAATAAGGGGAATTCTTGTGAAGAAACTTAAGAGTGAAGAATAATTTGTTTGTAATTATTTCAGCTAATCATCTGGAAACATTCAAAGAAAAAGATAAAATGATATGAAAAAGATAAAGGAAAACAAATTTGAACTCGAAGAAAGCGCAATCATCACATTCGTTATGAAAATTAATCATGGCAAACATTTAGTGAATTGTAAAATGAAATGAAAATATTCGTTCAATTGTTTTTAATTTGGATGTTAAAATGTTTAATGTTACTGATTAACTTATGTCAATTTTCGATGACAATGATAATGGTGACGATAATGATGATAGTAATAAATGTATCATTTTCTACTTGTCAACATTTTTCATGTTTAAAAACAAACAGATTAAAATGTATTGAAATTTGAATAGGAAATAAGTTCTTTCTGTCGTTTAAGTTAAAAGTAACCTATGCAATTAAAAAGCGGAAATGATTAAAAAATAAGTAAAGTAATAGTAACAATAATCATTAAAAAAAAATAATGACAATAACAATAACAACAATAATAATAATAAAAAAATAAATAATAATAATTAAAAAATCAATGAATTCCAGCATGTTTTTTTTTTTTTTTTAAATATATTGCAACACTATGATAATGACATTTACGAGATCTGTAGGAATTAAAAGAATTACTTTTACCATAAAAATTAGTCCCTAGAGAATTTCAGTTCAATTTACACAAGAATACAACCCTACTAAGTTTAGCGCTATAATTATGTATTGTTACATGTTTATTTAAAACTAACCAGTCAGTAATATTAAATTTTTAAATATTTTATACTTATTTTACAAGCCACAACATTATTTAAAAAAGTAAAATGTATGTTAATGGAAATTTTTGAAAAAGAAGCATAAAATTTACCGGAAATCATTCGAACCACTTCAAGATGATTGGATGCAGTAACGGGCATTCCATTTACTTTTAAAATTTTGTCACCTTGTCTGACACCGGCATTAAATGCA